ATATACACACAATGGTGCCCCATATCTCCTGGCTTTAAATCAGTCACATTAAAGATGCAGTATTTACAAACATATGCGCTCTCTCCAGTGGTGTATAGTAACTAAGTGCGTTCACTGTACAAATTTAAGGTACTTGTACTGATACTTTTACTCCACCACATAGCAAAAATTGTACTAAAAATGTTTTAAAGTATTTGTATTGTAATATAGCATAACATTTGTTATATACCAGGCGATTCAGATTCAGATAAATGATACTAAATATAATCAACAAATAAATTAATATAATTACCACCACTCACTTGGCCATTTAAACCAACAGATACATCTTATTACTTTTTCTCACTTAAAGGTTGTGTGCATGTGCGTGTGTGTGTGTGTGTGTGTGTGTGTGTGTGTGTGTTTTACCTTCAGGGAACTTGTAAGTGTGTGTGATGTCATTATATGAGTTGTTGCCCACAGACTTGGTGTAAACAGCCTGTCCAATATGAGTCTTTTCCACCCTGTACGGAGTCAAAACCCCATAGCGATCCCGCTTGTGGAAGACCACGTCACTGTTCACCTGAAAGGCAGGAAACACTGCGATTGTGACATTTTAACAAAATATTAATGTTCAAAACAACACTTAGGGCTCTAGTTTCGCAGACCGGGTGAGGCGGGGGCGCAGCGCACCTGCGCTTTGGCAACTGGGTGTGGCCAGGCTGATTTTGCAAGTTTGGCACACCGTGTGCCCTGGCGCAGCTACTCCTCTTTCCCACCTCCGTTCCTCCTACCTGCGCAAGTCGGAAAGAGGGAGGAGAGAAGGCGTGGAGTGGGTTTTACATACATCACACCAATCAAATGAGCCCCTCTCCTCGCCCTTAAATGCGCCGCGCGAAAGCGTAATGAGAGTTTACTCAATTCGCCATGGCAGAAGAGAGCAGCAGCGTCAGACTGCCAAACTTCTCCCAGGAGGAAACTGATGTTTTGGTCCGGGAGATCCAAGCTCACAGTGTCCGAATATACGCAACTGCGAGCAGACCTCCACAGGCTGATGATGCAAAGGTAGCCTGGGAGGAGGTCACCACAATTGTAAATCAATGTTGCCTTTCTCTCTTGCGCGCGCGCTCTCTTTCTCTCTCACAGTCTCACTGTTTCTTTTCTTTTGGCTTTTCTAAGATGACAGATGCTGAATATATACTCCCTATCTGATGCTGTGGCTGTTTGTGGTTGGCTGAGAGGGGTGTGAACTCATTAGTTTGCAACTGTGTTAATCAAATCAGGTTGGGTTTCCATTACGCGTGCCAAACGTGCCAAACGGTGCCATTCCCCTTTGATCTGACATCAGATGTGACAGGACAGTCGATACAGATATACATTTATGTGCTGATTGCAGATAGTTGCATTGAATAGTGGTTTTGTGGGTATTTATTGCATCGTTAATGTGCCTGATATTCTGGAAACCTGCCTGTGAGGTTTTGGTGACGTGTGTGCACTGTCCGCCGGTCAGCCAAACTTCGGCTTACACCGGCTGCGCTCCCCCTGCGCTGACAGTAGACGTGGTTTCAGCTGGCGAGCTTTTAGCGCACCTTCGGCGAAGCCTTTTGGAAAGAAACTGTCACTGTGCCAAGCTGGATCTGTCGACACCTCCCCCTGCTGCGCCGCCACACCCATCTCAGCGCACCTCGGTCTGCCAAACTACCAAACTGAGCGCACCTCGGGTTGCGCTGCTCAAAACTAGCTCTGCGTGGGGTTCGCCACCCTGCGCTGCGCCGGGAAACTAGAGCCCTTAAACTTAGTACCACAAATATTACCAGTATATGTTTTTTGATGATGATGGATGTTTGTTTGTTTATGTGCCATAAATGTTAGAAATGTTCTATGGAGGAAGAAAAAAAGACCAAAATAAAATAATAGTGATACTAATGCGTTCATAGGTAGCACCATTTTCATTAATTCAACTAAATATTTAGCCTATACGATGTCAGGAAGTAGTCAACAATGTTTGATTGGTACAAAACTGTAAAATTTTCTGTCATATGAAAAGAAAAAAAGTAGCGCATAATAAGATCTGAGAAGTGAGACAATGAAAATATTTCTCATTTGTACTTAATTACTGATGTAACTGATCTGATAAAACAATTGTTCATCCTCTTTTTTTTCTCTTGTTTTTTTAAAAATAATTTTTCTTGTCTTTTATAACAATTAAACACCTGAAATTTTCAAAGATTTATAACACTTCCTTTGTAATGCATCTTAACTTGTATGTCTAAACTTTTAAACTTGTCCATTTCTATCAGTTTCCTTTTACTGCTTGGTCTTGAAACAACTACACAGTGTTCAAACTTTTAAAATCCTTACTTTCTTTTTTATACACATTGTGTATTTGTATGTGCAAATAAACTAAATATAAATATCAACTAAAAAAACGAATAAATTTAGTCTCCACCTCCACCTTCACCTTCAGAGATGCACCGATAATAATAATCTTATAAAATATTTTACATAGGGCTGTCAGTGTTAACGTGTTAATTGCAATGTGATTAATGTACTACGATAATGGGGTTTGCTTTTTGTTTTTGTTTTTTTATATACACACACATGCACAAACAGGACCTATATATGCATTAAATGGAGAGGTGTCAGAGTGAGGGGGCTGCACATGGACAGGCGCCCCAAGCGGTTGGGAGTTTGGTGCCTTGCTCAAGGGCACCTTGGCAGTGCCCAGGATGTGAACTGGCACCTCTCCAGCTACCAGTTCACGCTCCATATTTTGGTCCGGATGGGGACTTGAACCGGTTCCCAAACCCAAGCCAAGTCCCTGTGGACTGAGCTACTGCTGCCTGTGTGTACTGTAGTTTAAAACGCGTGTAGTATAAGATGATTCATTTGTCAGTGAACCGTGTGAGTTGTAATAGTGCCGAATTTTGTAACGTTACCTTCGTTAAATGGTCCCGTTTCTCTGGCTTCATAGGAGTAGAAAAAATTAAAAAACAATCTGCTAGCCAGTAGGCTAATTTATACAATGTTAAATGCCATAGGCTTGTGCTAATAATGTTAGCATTTTGTATTTGTGGGGAAAATGTGTCCGGTGTTTTGTCTGTGGTATTGCTACTTTTACTGAACTAAAAGATCTGAGTACTTTTTCCACTCAAAGAAAAGTTGAAACTAACCTCAGCAAAGACAAATCCAGCATCATACGGGTGACAAAGCAGCCCTTCCTTGATGGCAGCGACTGAAGCTGGACCACAGCGATAATGTCCTGTAAAGCAAATACAGAGTTTATTGTCCACTTGTCCATCTGTCTCCTGATCTATCATCTGTCTCTGTCTGTCTGTCTGTCTGTCTGTCTTACCATCACTGGTCTCCTGGGGCGTGGCGTCCACCACCTGCCATCCTCCGAGTCCAGGTGGCAGATCATTGCGCGAAATGAACACCTCATTCCAGCAGTGGTAGTTCCTATAAAGAAGACCTGTCAGTACACATTTTTGTATCTGTTTAGTTACCCAAACCACAAATTACACAAGTTGTAATACCTTAATTTCATATCTGAATACCCTTCGACCTCAAAGATAATCATTGTCACAGACCTTACACAGTCTGAGACCTAAAAAATACTCAGATACTGCAGTATTTGGACAATATGAGGGTGCAGGGAAGACACAGTATCTACTAGCGACTTCTCTCCAGTGGTGGAAAGTATGTTTTCCCAAGTTCTCTACTTTAGTTTGAATTTGAGGTACTTCTTTGTGTATTTTCATTTTTTCTACTTAGGGGGTGAGCTGTAATGGCAACTTGTTTATATCTACCATGAGCTGGTTGGATGTTTTCTTTGTAGTTTAAATCATTACTTTCTAAAACATGCACAGGGCAAGTAAAGAAAGTACTTCTGGACTGGAAGTCTCCTAGCAACAGACATGACTGACAGGCATTTGGACCAACCAGATGGAGTCCCTGGTGTGACGCTCGTCTGGTGAGCCATCAGGCTTGCAGATGAGGTCGGTCTTCAGGTTGCCTGTGTTGTCATGAGCTGAGCTGAAGTTGGTGATGACCCTTGATGGGATACCAATGGCGCGTAGGACTGTAGAGATGTGAAATATTTAAATTATTAGCATCTAAAATTGAGTAAAATATTCTGACTTTGATGCATCTAGCTTTGTACAAAATTATAGCAGTGGGAAATAATTAGAATCATTTGAGTACTGTACATAAGAACAATTTTGTATGATAGCCCTGAAAGGCAAGATGAAAGTGTATCTTCTACTGACAAAACATTATCTCCTAGATAGGCGATAGATCTAGATTTCCTAAATTTTAGGTCTCCTGGTGTTTGAAATGCATTTGACAGCTTGCCTGAAAAAAACCTTTTGTTAATGCTACATTTGAATGAACTTTCAATGCCCTTTGTATCGTGCACTAAATGCTTTATTCTGCATGGCTTTCTCATGGCATAATCTCCTATAAGGAGACTGTATCCCATGCATAGGAGATGATATCTCATATATAGTAGATAAATGTAGGTTTTGGCTGACATTGCTCTTTTTTCACCTTGCCTGTCAGGGCTTTTACTTGACATATATATTTATACATTTACTTTACTTTTACTTTTCAGATAAAGATTTCTCACTGTGGTCATTTGTCGATGTTTTTGCAAAATTTGGTGTTTGTTTGTTGGTCTCTGTAGTAGTTTTGTGTCTTTTCTATGGCTGTTTTTGTGGTGTTTTTTATGTCTCTTAATGTGTTTTTGGCTTTTTTTGTGGTTGCAAAAACAACCCCCAGGCCTAGGCTTGGTGGGCCCACTCATCAGTCGACCCTTGCTTGAAGCTATCTAAAAGTCCTGACGTGCACAAGCATTTTAAAAGTATATCATGGTAATTAGGAGTGCATGCTCTTACAGGTGTTTAAGACTCCAGCAAACACCCAGCATTGGGCGAAGCACACAGGGACTCCAGTGTTGGCTTACTGCAGCAGGATCTTGACGCTGCCCGTCCAAGATGTCGGGGACCTGCCCATCGAGTAATCGTCACTCCAGTTCCCAACTAACACGCCCCTATCATCCTGAGAGTTAATCTGAAGGAAGACATTGGTTAGCATGTTGGTTTACTTTATCATGCTAGCCTGGTAACAAAAAACACACAAAAATGTTAGTGTGTTGACATTTTGCATGCTTATGTATGGTGTAATGATATGATATTAACATGCTAACATACACACATCAGCATAATATCATGCCATTGTTTAACCTGTCATTGCAACACACTAAGATCTGGTATATCTGCATGCTTGCTTTAAGCACTGCAGACGCTGATAGGAATTTAGAGGTATTTTGTGTAAAGTTTGACCTGCTTGTCACTAGATGAAGACTCAGTGAATCATCAGTATCACCAGGAATTATCTTCTGGTGATTCATGATAAATGTCTGAACCAAATTTTGTAAGAATCCTTTCTATAGTGGTTGAGATATTTCACTCTGAACCAAGGTGGCTTAGCTAAAAATGCAAAATGTAACTTAAAAAAAAGAAAGGAAAAAAAAACACAGTTAAATGAAAGTCGAGCAGGTGAAACTCTGTGTTCTCACCATGGCAGATCCCATCCTGACCATTTTGATGACGCTGCCACGGTCGTAGATCGGTATCCGTGACGCATCCAGGATGTAAATACAGGCATCTAGAATACCGCGCTCAAACTGCAGGGAGATAACACATCAACTTTAAGTCTATGTCTATTCTTTATGATTTTTTATGATGTAGGTGTGTGTGTGTGTGTGTGTGTGTGTGTGTGTATACCTGTCCATACACCCAGTCACGGTGTGACACAGATCCGACTGAACCCTGGTAGATCACACCATAGTCATTCAGGATGTACTCTTGCCGCTCTGCTTCATTAGGAAGAAACACAGTGTCCTCTGTAAAGACAGACACAACCAAAAGTGTTTTAATACCACTCATCAGGATCAATGAAAGAATGTGAAACTCTAAACTTATGACATTCTCTAAATCAGGAGGCAGTGTAAAAGATTTAAAACCATCATGTCATAAACTTAATGTGACATAAGAACCTTTCCTTAAAATTTCCCTGTGATTGCATTAGGGCTGGCTCAGGCTTGCCCTGTACCAGCCCCTAGTTAGGCTGACTTAGGCCTAGTCTGCCGGAGGACCCCCCTATAATACACCGGGCACCTTCTCTCCTTCTCTCTCTCTCTCTCTCTCTCTCGTATTCTATTACTGCATCTTGCTAACTCGGCCATTCTGGATGTCACTAACTCGGCTTCTTCTCCGGAGCCTTTGTGCTCCACTGTCTCTCAGATTAACTCATATCGCAGCGGTGCCTGGACAGCGTGACGTGTGTGGTTGTGCTGCTGCCGTGGTCCTGCCAGATGCCTCCTGCTGCTGCTGCCATCATTAGTCATTAGTCATACTTCTACTGTTATTATACACATATGACTATTGTCACACATGTATACTGCCAGATATTAATACATACTTTCAACATATTGTACCACAGTAGCCAGAACTATAACTATAATATTATTACTTTCAATAATGTTGTTGTAAGCTACTGTCATTACCTGCATCTCTCTCTCTCTCTCTCTCTCTCTCTCTCTGTCTCTCTCTCTCTGTCTCATTGTGTCATGTGGATTACTGTTAATTTATTATGCTGATCTGTTCTGTACGACATCTATTGCACGTCTGTCCATTCTGGAAGAAGGATCCCTCCTCAGTTGCTCTTCCTGAGGTTTCTACTGTTTTTTTCCCCCGTTAAAGGTTTTTTTTTTTTGGAGTTTTTCCTTATCCGCTTCAAGGGTCATAAGGACAGAGGGATGTCGTATGCTGTAAAGCCCTGTGAGGCAAATTGTGATTTGTGATATTGGGCTTTATAAATAAAATTGAATTGAATTGAATTGAATAACATTAAATCTGTAAGACCCGATAATCATCCCTCAATACATGACACTAAAACTCTTTCTTAAGAATGTTTGAGAAATCACATAAAAATGTTCCTAGATTTCCTACAACTGTGGTGAAGGACAGACCTCTGAAAATTCTCGTTTGTAACCAATTTTTTTTTTCTTCAGTAATACCCCAGATAATACCCAAACTCTTAATTATAAACGTCTTAAATCCTCTAAGACTGACAGAAACAAATAAAACAGAATATACACAACAGGAAATGATTCAGCTTAGAAATCAAGCGTTCATGACTGTAAATTCAAGCAGTAACTCCCTCCTCTGGGTGGCACTGGAGGCATTCATACCTGGACACCAGGCGTTGAACAGCACATAAAGGTCGGTGCTGGTGTCCCTGCTGGTTCTCTGCATGCTGCCGCCAACCTCGATGGCCATGTATATACGGTACTTCCCCACAATAGCATTGGGTGCTGGCGTGATGCCCAGCATCATAGACTCTCCCTGCTGCTCCAGAATCTGACCCGACCACGGTCCACCATGACGGGCACCAAAGGTCACTACCACCAGGGACCCCTTATTGGGTGACGGGTTGGAACCTGGAGGAGGATGAAGAGAAGGGGGAAAAGGAAGAGGAAGAGGAAGAGGGTCAGTGATGAATAGGACAGAAAACAACAAGAGGAGCGGAAACAAGGGGAGGAGACAAGGAGAGATAACAAGGAGATAAGAGAGGAGAAGAAAAGGAGAGGATGGGAGATAAGGAGAGTAAACAAGGAAAGGACAAGAGACAAGGAGAGGAGACAAGGAGAAGAAACAAGGAGAGAAGTAAAAGAGAGTTAACAAGAAGAGGAAACAAAGAGATGAGAGCAAATAATGCAAGGGGGCAAGGAGAGGAAACAAGGAGAAAAGGGAGGAGAGAAGACAAAGAGAAGAGACAAAAAAAGGAAACAAGGAGAGGAGACCAAGAGAGTAAAAGAACCAAGGAGGTGAGATGAGAGGAAATACAGAGATGAGAAGAAATAATAAGAGGAGGCAAGGAGAGGAGAGGAGAAAAGAAGATTAAACAAGAAGAGTGACAAAGGAGAGGAAACAAGGAAAGGAGTGGAGATGAGGACAGGAGACAAGTGGAGGAGAGGAGACAGGGAGAAGAGACAAGAAGAGGATCAAGGAGGGGAGACAAGAAAAGGAGAAGAAACAAGGAGATCAGAGGAGATGAAACAAGGAGATTAAAGGAAAGAAGAAGAAGAAAAACAAGGAGGAAAGTAAAGTTGAGGAAAGAAGGAGAGGAGACAAGTAAATGAGAGAAAACAAAAGGAGTAGACAAGGAGAGGAAACAAGATAAGAGTTAAAGGGGAGGAACAAAGAGAGGAGATGAAACAAGGTCAGGATACAAGGGGAAGAGACAAGGGGAGAGGTAAAATTGAGGAAACAAGGAGATAAGACAAGTAGAGGAAAAGAAAGAGGGAGATGAAAGAAGAGAAGACAAAGAGAAGAAACAAAGAGATGAGAGGAAACAATGAGCAGACAAGGAGAGGAAACAATGAAAGAGGTAAAGGGGAGGAACAAGGAGAGGTGAGGAAACAAGGACAGGATACAACAGGAGAAGGCAAGGGGAGAGGTGAAGGAGAGAAGATCAGGAGAGTAGAAGAAACAAGGAGATGAGTGGAGAGGAAACAATGAAATGAGAGGAAACAAGAGAAGACAAGGAGAGCAGTCAACAAAAGGAAACATGACGAGGAGACAAGAAGAGAAGAAGAGCAGTCAAGGAGACATGACAAGGAGAGAAGAGGAGTCAAGGAGAGGAAACAAGGAGATGAGGCAAGTGGAGGAGGAGACAAGGAAAGGAGAGGAAACAAGGGCAGGGGACAAGGAAAACTGTCATCAATCTGTCAGACAGCAGCTGTGTGTGTCTGTGTGTGTGTGTGTGTGTGTGTGTGAGAGACAGAGCCATGGGGAGTGTGTGTACTAATTAGCCAGCTAAATGAATGTGAAGCTGCCTAATTGTTCAGTGGGGGACTATTAAGAAGCATCTTTTCATCAGCTGATTGGTTTACAAGGGAGCAGTTTAACTGTTTGCTCTCAGGTGGGCTGAGGTGTGACCACTAAGCGCGCTCTGTTACAGAAACCACGCCCTCCTGTATGGTCCACTAAGCGTGCTCCTTTACACAAACCATGCCGCCCTGTATGTGGCAATGAAACAGACTGAAGATGGTCAGTTTACTGGGAAGATGTCATGAAATGAGGTCAGATGAAATGAGGTGAGGAAAGAAGCAGAGATTATAATCACATATCTATACGTTTTATAAGTTTTTGGAAGTGCCACCTCATAAATTTTCTTCTACCCTCATACTACTTTTATTTTGCTCTTATTCTATTCTTATATTCTTTTTAGTATGCTTTTATTTCTGTATGGTATGGGCTGCTGCACCACCTGAATTTGCCCAATGTCTTATCTTATCTTATCTTATCTTATCTTATCTTATCTTATTGGGTTAGGGTTTAGGAAAAGAAAAGGGTTAGTGTAGGCAAAAAAAGGAATCTTTGTAATGAACAGCTAATTCAAATGAAATAATTCTCAGTGAATAGTCAGTTAAGAGAGAAAGTGATGTGAGGGTCCAGCAGACACTGTGGGGCAACTATTATCAGAGAATCAGTTCAAACTCACCAATCAGGAACTCGACCTGGAAGTCGTCGTCTTGCGCCAGTGGGCGGTTGAAGGTGACTCTGATCACAAACTCCTGACCACGACGGACCACCAGGTTTTGGGTGTCATAGGAGGCCGTATAGTGGTTTGGTTCATTAATCTGCTGACACATGTCGACGTTCTGCACTGACAGAGAATCTGAGAGGGAGGAATAAAGGGAGACAGTACACCATGTTTTTATTGATTATTGATCACTGATCAGACAATCAACAGACTGGCCATTAGACTCATTTCCACTGTCAGCAGCTATACCCCATGTATTTTATTTATTATTTAGACATTTTTGACTGTGCAATACTCTGGCATGTATACTGTACTTTTTAACTCATTTTCTGATTTTCTGATTTATTTATAATACACTTAACCCATTCCTCTGTATTTTTACTTTTATGCCTCTGTGCCAGCAAGAAGAGTGGCCCGAGGCATTATGTTTTCAGGTTGTCTGTAATTAATTCTCTCCATATGTCTTTATGTCCGTCCATCTGTCCCACTCTTGTGACTTTGATATCTCAAGAACAGATTGAAGGAATTTCTTCAAATTTGGCACAAACATCCACTTGGACTCAACAATGAACTGATAAGACTTTGGTGGTCAAAGGTCACTGTGACCTGACTAAACACATTTTTTGGCCATAGCTTAAGAATTGGTATGCCAATAATGACGATATTTCACACAAAATACTTGTGCTACATACATAAAACACGTTTATACGCACTTCTTATTTATCTGTTTTCTATTTTTCGAATATTTTTTTCCTAATAATTTTCTCCATGTGTGTTTACATAAGAGTAACTGTAATGTGAACCAGTTTTCCTTGAGGGGATCAATAAAGAATATCTGATTCTGAATGTTATATGTTACTATTACATAAATAACTAGCCTATTAAACTAAATGAGTCTTACCGCCTGCAGGTGCATATCCTCTGCCAGTGGGTGGGGGTATGACATCTTCTGCAAAAGTCTCAGAATCATCAGTATCCTCAAGGTTGGACCTCGGCACCTAAAGATGATTTAAAAAAAAAAAGTAAATAAAGAATCATAGATTAAAGAATACACTTAAAAGCATTCTAAACTGCAGGTACACAGATCTCAGAGAAATCTAACAGGTTGGTTTTCGGTAAGCTGACATACACTGCTGGGACTAAAACTCAAAAGTACTTGATGTTTTTGTTACAGTAGCCTACCGGCTTGTTGTAGCGCCCCAAGTCATTCTTTGATTCTGTAGTTTGATTTGACATGATGGTTGAAAAGAAGAGGTCTCACTGAAGTAACTGGACAGAAAGACAGAATATTATTTAATGATTGAAAAGACAAAGAAAAAATATAAACAAAGTATGCAGTGAATGTAAACCACCAAGTAAATATGAAAATGTCACCATAAAGCACCACAGATACACTTTAACACTGCACAAGGATTGCAGAAATATTTAAGAATATTATAAAACATATTTTTGACATTAATAAAAAACTAAATGTATTAGTTTGACATAAACATAAAAGATGCATTTTTTAAAAAATAAATGTTAGATAAATTATTTTTGTTTTGTCTGATTTGTTCTAAGTTTATTTATTGTGAAATACTGGATAGTTTTACCTCTTTTAGAGCCTAAAAAAAATCATTCAAGTCAAGCCTTTTTACTGTCATGTTCACAATTACTCTGAGGCATTTGCTGAAAATAAAATAGTTGAAAGTAATTAAAATACATATAACTTACATATGCTTCATACATTAAAAATATGTATGAAGAAAAATCAAGTAAGTGTATGAAGGATGAAAAAAGAACTTAAAAGTATAATTAAATGTATAAATAAATACAGGAATAAGTAAATAAATAAATGTATGACTAAATACAGGAATAAATACATGACTATGGATGATCATGTATAAAGTAAATACATACAGGAAATAAATGAATATGAAAATAATAAAAAAGTGTATGAATAAATACAGCAGCAAAAATGAAAACATATGAAAAAAATAGTCTGCTGAAATTATTACAGAAATAAATTAATAAATAAAATAATGAATTCATGAATTAATGTTGAAATAAATTTGAAAATAAATAGATGGTGTGTGTGTCTCACCTCTCAGATGAAGGAGTGGAGTTCGTCTCTCAAGCCTCTGACGATCAAATCAGATGATGATCACATCAGCTTCAACATCAGTTTATATACACACACTGCTTCCCCTTTACAAACACACACACACACACACACACACACACACACATTCTTGAGTAAAAATGCCCCAAAGTGAGGACCAGCATTTCTGCTTCACATATGAACACAAACACAGTAACTTCTGGACACTAGGTGGCACCCTTGACCCATACATTCCTTTAAATTACATGTAACATTAAGTCTTGGAAAAAGTTTTCAATCCAAGTGAAGTGAACTCAGTTTGAATTTGTATTGACTCACAGTTTTTAATTTGGTTATATTTATTGAAGTAAACCTAATCTGGGTTTATTGAGGATACATTTGGCCTAATCTCCTATTTTCACCCAGATTATTACCTAAACACTCTCTACCTTCCCTATGTCATGGTCATCTAGAACATACTGAATGTGATTACCATAATCTTCAATGACAAATGTTTAAATTTAAAACAAAACATTTAATCATCATTAGGAGGTTTTTTTTTTGTTTTCTTTACAAACTGTACCTCTACAATGATCATTTCAGAAGGGAACACTTCTGATATGTTGTTTCAGGCAAACTGGTGAATTTTTCATATAATTATTTTTCTTAAGACATTTGAAAACAGCACTGAGTTATGGTTTTAAGAAAACATATGAGACAGGAAAAACAATATTAATGCCAAAAGGAAATAGTTCTTAGGAAATGTGAAGTTGTCCTTGTTGCTGTCTTTAATTTAACTGATACACTGTTATTTCCCCTGCCCTGTCTGAATTTTATTTGTCTTGATTCTGTTTTGTTGTGCCCTTGTTTAATCTAGCATGTTTTACTGACTCAGGTCACTCCTATAAGAGTTGCGACAAGAGCAATCTAACAGCTGTTTATGGTTATATAAAAAGGATCTTACTCTTTTTTATACAACAGTTAGTTCCGGCCCTGCAATCTGATTGGTTGAGAGACAGTAAAACCGTGATGATATTGGAGTACAACATCACGGTCTCACTGTGTATGTATCACTCCGCCTCACAGCTGATTGCAATCAACAATCAAATCAAAACTGACGGTTAGTGTCAGTTAGGTCAGCAGTTGTGTTGTAGGCTAATTAATTCATCCACTGTCAAACAGCCAAAAATATGGATTTATTTCCTAAAATAAGTTTTGAATTGAACGATGAATGGTCATCAGAGGAAGATGAGGGAGAGGAGACGCTGAATCCATCTGAGCACACATCCAGGTTTGTCAGTGTTTTATCAGTGGAGCTCAATGACTTGGAGAAAAGCAACATACTGTCAGATCAGAAGGCAGAGTCGGCTGTGCCTGTGAAGCGACAGTCCACCATGCAGTCACCAGAAACTTATTTCACCAGTTGCACAATTAATGGACATGTGCAGATAAATGTGTATAAAGAGTAAGTGCCTGGCGCACCATGTCTGCGTTAAGCCTGATTTATGGTCGTGCGTTAAATCGATGACGTCGCTACGTCGTAGGGTACATGGCTACACAGAAGGCTCACCGTAGCCCCGGCGTAGCCTGACGTGCACCTCCCCAAAAATGTAACTACACGTCGAGGCTACACAGACCCAGCTCAGACAGGCTGGTTTGCTTGGTAGCAACGCATTTCCGGTTCTGTATTTCCAGACTCCGCCATGCCCGCCGCGAATCCCTGCCATCTTTAAACATCTTCTGTTGCGATGTAGATGTTGCAGTATTAAGGCCCATTTATGCTCAACGTTAAATACGGACACGGACTGAGCCTTCTGTCCGTGCTCCGCGTTCATTTCTCTGTGACTGGAAAAGAATCAAGAGACGACGATAACCGTTCAGGAAAGGAACGCAGCCTCCTACCGCTCTGGCGGTGAATTGCACCGCGACGAAATGGAGTGACGGAGAAGTTCAAAGGGTTCACGACGGCGTCACGGCAATGACGTAGCTATGACGTAGGTACGCAGGACCAACGGTGACAGCGGAGTCCTGAGGGAACTATTTTTGTTGGCGGAAGACAAATAAAATGCTTAAATTATTATTTTTCAACATTTCTTAATCAGCCTTGCTTATTTAACTGTTGAACTGTTGTATAAAAGCAATATCACACTCGAGCTCGTGATGTTGTACTGTGATATCATCACGGCTGTGATTGTCTTCGGCAATCAGGCACCTGATTGTCAGCACTTGTGAGCATGGGCCCTGCTACAGCGGTCAGTTGGTGTCTGCTCCAAGAATCGGCTTGCCACATTTGACTGATCTGGATAGGGCCTGTGCATAGGGCAACTTCAAGCTGGTGTTCCGCAAAACCAACCATTATTTAGAGTGAGCCCTAGTACCATCTGCAAACTTAATTTGAAACAACTCCTGAAATTTTCACTGCCAAACCCACCAGACTCCACTTAGATAAACAATAATTTTATCATTGTAAAACACACTTCATTCAAAGGCAAGGCGAGGCAATTTTATTTATATAGCACCATTCATACACAAGGCAATTCAATGTGCTTTACAAGAGAAATACGTTAAGATAAAACATTAAAGGAACAATAGATCATTAAAAACAAAAGCTAAAAGCAAGAAAAACAGTGCAGAAAATGCATTTAAAAAGCAAACATAAAGCAAAAGCAACAGCAGACAAATATAAAAACAATAGCTACAGATTATCCTAACAATAAGTTACATATCTAGTTCACTGGTAAGCTGCAGTAAATAGTAATGTTTTAAGCCCTGATTTAAATGAGTTGACAGTTTCAGCCGACCTCAGATATTCTGGAAGTTTGTTCCACAGGCGGGGAGCATAGAAACTAAAGGCTGCTTCACCTTGTTTGGTTTTGATCCTGGGAACACTGAGTAAACCTGTTCCAGATGATCTGAGGGGTCTGGATGCTTCATAACGTACAAGTATATCAGAGATGTATTTAGGCCCGAGACCATTTAGTGCTTTATAGACAAGTAACAAGATTTTAAAGTCTATCCTTTGACACACAGGAAGCCAGTGCAGTGACTTAAGCACTGGTGTAATGTGCTCCACTCTCTTGGTGTTGGTGAGGACTCTGGCAGCAGCGTTCTGGACGAGCTGCAGTTGTCTGATTGATTTTTTACTCAGGCCTGTGAAGACACCGTTACAATAGTCCAGCCTGCTGAAAATGAAAGCATGAACAAGTTTTTCTGTATCTTGTTTAGACAGAAATTCTTTTATTCTTGCTATGTTTTTAAGGTGGTAGTAGGCTGATTTAGTAATTGTCTTAATGTGACTATTGAAATTTAGGTCTGAGTCCAGAACTACACCAAGATTTCTGGCTTGATTTGTAGGTTTTAGTGTCATGGCGTCAAGGTGAGCACTGACTATTGATCTTTGTTCTTTGGGGCCAAAAACAACTATCTCAGTTTTGTCTGTGTTTAGTTGTAGAAAATTCTGGCACATCCACGTATTGATTTCGTCAATGCACTTATTTAGCAGATGTAGGGGACTGTAGTCATCTGGTGACACTGTTATGTAAAGTTGTGTGTCATCTGCATAAGTATGGTAGGAGATGTTATGATATTCCATAATCTGAGCAAGAGGGAGCATATAGATGTTGAACAGAAGAGGCCCAAGAATGGACCCTTGAGGAACTCCACATGTAATCTTTGTTCGCACAGATTCATAATTGCCAAGTGACACAAAGAAATCCCTGTCTTGTAAATAAGATTTAAACCAATTTAGCACAGTGCCAGAAAGTCCCACAAACTTTTCTAGTCTGTCGAGCAGTATGTTATGGTCAACTGTGTCGAATGCAGCACTGAGGTCCAGTAATACCAGAACCGAAATCTTTGATGCATCACTGCTCAGATGAATGTCATTTAAAACTTTTACAAGTGCAGTCTCAGTGCTGTGATGTGCTCGAAATCCAGACTGAAAGGCATCAAAGGAATTGTTTTGCTCCAAGAAGGTGTTAAGTTGCTGAAAAACAACCTTTTCAATGATCTTTCCTAAAAATGGTAGGTTTGATATGGGCCTGTAGTTATTTATTACTGAGGCATCCAGATTAGGCTTTTTTAAGAGAGGTTTAATGACTGCAGTCTTCAGGGCCGTTGGAAAAAGGCCTGACTGAAGAGAACAGTTGACTATCTGTAGTATATCTGATGCTATGCAGTTAAAAACATCTTTAAAAAAGCTTGTAGGCAGAGTGTCAAGGCAGCAGGTAGTGGACCTAAGGTTTCTAACTATGTCTGTCAAAGTAGCATAATTTAATGGGTGAAAAAGTGCCAAATTAACTGGAGTAGTCTTATGAGGCACAGGTGAAATAGCCACTGTGTTGGAGTTACAGACTGTCTGTCTTATCTTTAAAATCTTGTCTGTGAAAAAAGAAGCAAAGTCATTGCATGCCTTGGTGGATAGCAGTTCAGGAGGGACTGACGCTGATGGGTTTGTCAGTCTGTCAACAACAGTAAATAAAGTCCGTGCATTGTTGTTATTTTTGTTGATAATCTCAGAGAAAAAGGACTGCCGCGCCCTTTTTAGCTCCAAGTTATAGATGTGCAGACTTTCCTTATAGATGTCATAATGAACCTGGAGTTTGGTTTTTCGCCACCTGCGTTCTGCTTTTCTACATTCTCTTTTTTGAGCTTTTACCTGTGTGGCGTTCCTCCATGGTGGTTTTTTCTTACCAGAGACAACTTTGACCTTCATGGGGGCAATATTGTCCATAATATTCATAGCTTTAGAGCTGAAACTATGAACCAGATCATTGACAGAGACTGAGGGCACAGCTGGTGTGGGTATAAAATCCTGGGTGAATAGTGTACAGGTGTTTTCGTTGATATAGCGTTTTCTGATTACCCCTGTTGTACTTTTACTGGTGTCAGCGGAGATGGCCATTTTAAAGAAAACACAGTAATGATCAGAAAAGGCAACATCAGTCACCACAACCTCAGAAATGTTGAGCCCTTTGGAGATAATTAGATCTAAAATATGTCCCTTATTGTGTGTTGGCTCTGTTACATGCTGGGAAAGTTCAAAGTTGTCCAGGATGTAGAAAAGTTCTTTCGCACTGCCATCTTTGGGATTATCAATATGAATATTAAAATCACCCACTATAACAACACAGTCAAAATCAATACAGACAACAGACAATAGTTTAGAAAAGTCATCAACAAAGTG